CGGACCACAGCTGGTTCTATTGCTGGAGTGGTTGGCAACCCAGGAGGCAAGTGCCGCACTACGTGCACGCTCGCGCTTGCGGCTGACCCCGCGCCTAGAGATCATCATGGTCCGCATGCAAGGCGACATGGCTAAGCCTCCAGAAAAGCGGCTGAACTACAAGCACTGTCTGGACGCGCTTGCGCGCATGATCCGCGAGGAGGGGCCGTCGAGCATGCTGCGCGGCGTCGGCCCCAACGTCATCCGTGCGGTGCTCATGAACTCGAGCCAGCTCGCGTCGTATGACTTCTTCAAGGCCGAGCTCCTCAAGACTTCCTACTTCGACGACAACATCTTCTGTCACACCGCTGCGAGCTTCGCTGCTGGTACCGTTGCGACGACCGTCTGCTCGCCTGCCGACGTCCTGAAGGTGAGTATATGCACGCGCATATTGGGAGATGACTGACATGATGTCTTGCAGAGCCGTATCATGAGCGCTTCAGGTTCTGAGAGCAGGTCCACGATGGAACTCATCAGGCGGTCGATGAAGACTGAGGGCCCGATGTTCATGCTCAAGGGCTGGGTTCCCGCGTGGATGCGTCTACAGCCGACGACCATGCTTATCTTCATCACCTTCGAACAGCTCAAAAACTTCGTTGACTGGACTCGCAAGCCCCGCGAAGACGAATAAGGAGTCTGTGCACTTTCTCTGTACGGGTTAGTACGGACCAGCATCGGGTGTTTTGCTCGGGCTGTCCAGGGACTCTCAGTTCTGGAATTCACATCAGTGGGTTTCTCCGTTACTCAGATGTTTCTCGACGATTGTTGCTGTTCTTGATATCGCTGTTGTAGGAGTAATGTACATTCAATGCAGGTGTATCCTTATGTCCCGGCTGACTGTGCTGTTGACTTTACGAGTGACCCGTGGTAGGTTCCTGGACACGATATGTTGTCGACTGTCAACGAAAGATGTCTCCGCCTCGGAGGTCTGCGGTCAAGATCCAGGGCTGCGGATGCAGGGCTGTTGTCGGATGCATTGCAGGTGCGTTAGTCCTCGGAGTTCGGACGTCCAGACCATTGATTAGACTTGTCAGATTGTGGTCTCTTCCGTCTGCAGGTCCTTTTATGCGAAGCGTACACGGATACGACACACCAGAGCGCGAGCAGTGGATTTTGTACGCATGCTAGCCTTGTCCGCGTTGGGAAGTTCATACCCAAAGGCCGTCCAATTGGGTCGTCAAGCCCGTGCAATTCATTGGGACCACTGAACTCGAATGTATGAAAGTGTCGCGCTGATAGTCTTTACCATATACAGGGTCCCCAAGTGATGCTGCTCAACGAAGTCGTCATGGCTTCATTCAGAAGCTCTTTATCTTAGCTGTAGACGCTCACTTACTCATCTACGGGTGATATCCCCTTGCTGCCCCGAGCTTATTTGCGCTGTGCTTTCCATTGTTCAGGCATGCTCCGAGGTCGGCCGTCGCTGCCGCTCGTCGCAACCGGAGCTCGGCCTCAAACTGCTTCACGGCTTAGCGAGCACGGGCTATTTTGGAATTGGAGCTCGTTCGAGACCCTACGATCTCGTGTCCGAGGAGGCCAGGGAAGTTATAATTTTGCAGTACACTCTAATTAGCCACATAATCCAATGAGCTATTTATCGGACTTTGAATACGTCAGAGACTCACCGAAAGGGTAAGCATGACTTGATCCTATCCATTCAGCTTCGCGGAGCACCACACCGTGCAGTCCCGACTCTAGCACTTCACGACGGCCTGAAGCGTCGTATGTGTCTCGGAATATGTCGTCTTCCACGAACTCGAACGGCGAGCAGCATCAGCAGGCCCAACAGACTCAACACCCTACAGAGAAATCTCAGCCGTCCATCCTGAAAGAGAGACGATTCAAACTAAGCAGGCATGTAGTGTGCCAACTTTCGAAGGCCCTCTCTAACACCGCTTCGTGTATAGAGCTTGTGATCGCTGCAGGTGAGCTTTAGAGGCCTAAGGAGGGCCGTGCGTTCCGCTAAAACATTCCTCGAGACGGAGGCGAATCAAATGCGACGAAGGACACCCATGCCAGTCCTGCTTAACATCGAATTCGTCCTGTACATTTGAGGAGCCGGGAAAGAGGACTCACCCACACAAGTCCAAGTGCGTTTACTAACTCTTTGAGCGCGTATATACTGATTAACGTTGTACTCGCCTACCAGAAGGGCATCTACCCTTGAGGACCGCATGCACCATCTGGAAACCCTTATTCAGGCGATCCCCCCGGCAGTTTTCGCGGCAGGAGGTGCTTTGAACAGCACTAATGGTATGCTACCACCTCCCGTCGATCCCTCTACGAACCCCCATGCGTCTTTCGCGTCGTCTACCCACACCTACCCCCTCGGCGTCCCACCACCATCACTCAACTCCTACCCTCTGATCAATCCTTCGACGTTTTTTGGATCGAGCCAGCCACAGCCGGGCTCGAGACACTCGACCCCGCCTCAGATGAATGGCTCATCCGCGGTCGAGCGCTTAACCGTGGAGACCGCGCGAATGTCCCTGTCCCCAACATACCTCTATTTTGACGACGAAGGCTACACTCGGTGGCAGGGCGAGACGTCAGGTTTACCTCTTCTCGATCTCTTAGTCGAGCAGCATAAGGTCGTCACGAAGCAGGAGACCGAGCCGCCAAACCTCCAAAATCCATGGCCAGTGCCCAGCGTACAGGCCGTGAACGAATGGTTTCCTGACCGAACGCCTCAACGACAAGAGACCAACCCCGAGGTTATCTGGAAGCTCATCACATCCTTCATTCCACCAGATCTCATGGACAGGTGCGTACCGGGCCGCTTGCTCCCACGCCCTGCGTGCTGAGTGAATTGCAGCCTAGTGCAGTGCTATCTCTCTACATCGTATTATCTCCTGCCGTTCCTACATGTTCCGACGTTCCTCGCAGACTATGGGAACCCATCCAAATGGGGCGAACCTGGATTCGCAGCGCTAATCGTCGCTATATGCTGTCTCTCATCGCGGCACATCGACGACCCAAGAGTACGCTCTGACCCCAATGATGGTAACTCTGCAGGAACGCAGTGGTTCGAACTCTTTGGCCGCCTACGAACGTTGCCATCTGCGGACCGACCGACGGTCTACACCGTGCAGTCCGTCCTTGTCGCCGGTGTCTATGCAGTGGGCTTGGGCAAACTTTCGAAAGCGTTCGCACTTCTGGCCGAATCTATTACACTTTCGTTAGACACGGGCCTACACCGCTCTGCAGACGCATATGACGTTTTCGATCCAATCGAGGACGAGGTTCGTAAACGCACGTTTTGGTGCGTTTACCTCTGGGACAAGCAGGCCGCGTCACACTTCGGCCGGCCGCCAATGATCCGCTTGCGCGACTGCGACATCGGCGAGCCCGCGATGGTCGACGACGAGCTTATCACGCGCGAAGGGATCGGCATCCAGCCGGCAGAGCACCAGAGCCGCATGGCCGCCTTCGTCTCGCTTCTGCGCGTGTTCGTCGTGCTCGAATCCATCCTCGACGGGCCACCGTCCAGACACTTTGGCGACAACTCTCCGTTCCTGACGCGGGCCACGAGCATCCTGAGCGGCTTCCGGCGGCACACAGAACTCCGCGAGGAGGAGGCGCTCCTCGACGACATTGTCAAGAGCGTCCCGCCGTTCTGGGCGCACTCAGTCGAAACCATGGCGAGCGGCGATGTGCTGCGCGTCACACAGGCGGAGCGCATTCATTGCGCGGAGCAGTTCGTGCGGATGCTGCTCCTTCGACACCGCTTCTCAGAGATGGTCGCCGAGCGTGCCTTTAGAGGACAGGACGCCGAGGAGCAAAGCGAGGCCGAATGCGAAGCGATGCGGGCCGCCCAAGAGTGCGCCATGCAGATAATCTCGTCGCACTTGCAGGTCGCGGGGAAAGGTCTCATGACATACTGTGAGTATAGCGACGGAGATATTGCATTCCTATTCTAACGACTATTTAGATGGTGTACATGTCATCCATCAGCTGACAGCTGCAGGGCGCACGCTAGTGGCAATCCTGATCAACTGCCGTACAGAGTCTCTGCGACCGCTCATCCAGCCGTCGTTGGAGGCGCTACGGTCATGCGTTGGTCTGCTGAAGCGTTTCAGTGGACGGTATGTCTGCGGTCTCCGCTCGGGCGACTTGATGGAAGAGTTTTGTCGATGTAAGTCTTGGTCGTGCGCACGCCTTGTCTGTACTAACGGCCCTTCAGTGACCCAAATCCCGCTTGACTCGCCCCGGCCCGACGGAACACAATCTGGGAAGCCGCGCCCGCCATGGATTCGTCCCATCCGCAAGAAGACGCTACGAACAGGAGGCTCGAACGATTCAACGTCGCAGCACAGCAGCCCTGAGGCCTTCTCACCGTCTGACGCCTTCCTTGACCTGTCATCCGCAACCGTTAAGATGAACTCGCCGCCGCCGAGCGGGCCTTTCGCGAATGGCAAAGCGGCGTACGTTGGCAGCACGCCGGGGTCTACGTTCATGGACACGGGTGGGATGGACGTCTCGTCCGACGCAGCGATGGCGATGAACCCGTCGGACCTGTTGGCCATGTTCAACGTACCAGGCGGCAGCGACATTGATGTTGCTCTACTCATGTCGCCGCGGATGAATAATCAGAATCTCGAAGACCCTTCGTCGCCGACTTCATTCTTCAGCATCGGACCTGTACCTGGGCCGTCAGGAAGCATCCTCTCGCCTGCGCTTTAGTTGTGTACCTCCTCGAGCTGTTGTTGTATCATTATTGCTTTGGTGTGTAGGTGGTAAGTGCCTTGTATCGTTGGGTAAATATCTGTACTTTACATAATGCACTCAAAATACACGGCCTCGTGTTGTACCCGAACTCTCCTGGAATCGCCGCACTGGCAACCGTTTGTATATCGGTACGTCTAACCTATCCGTGATGCAATCATGATCTAAACTTTTCGCGTAGACGACGCTTTCGTGTTTCACAGACTGGTCCGTGGCCTCCGTTATGCCGACGCAAAGCCTTCCGTGACCCTGTGTTGGCTGCTTGTGTCGTCGTGGCGCTCGGCAGGTTCCACTGAGACATTATCACTCGTAAACAGAGCAGTTTCTTCGCTTCGCTCTGGTTAATTCCAGAAGTCCCAGCGCGCCGAGCTTGCACTCCCGAGATGCAGTACACTGCGTGCGTACTTACATATGATTGGATGACATTCGCGGGAGCTGTTGTCCTGGGAAAGTAACTTTGATATCAACCGGCATGATTCCTAGGATTCGTTCACAATGTAGTCTCCAGCGACAATTACCGAAGACGAGACGTATGTCCCTGGTTACAAGCCTCTATGCTCTGGGAGGGGAGTACGGAGTAGAAGCTGAATTTTTACACTCCGAGCAACGTCCGAGCAGGCTAGCTGTTCCACCAGTCACTCCGCGCTGATTGTGGCCAAGTGCGCTACACATGCTGCCAAGCTAGAAGCTTACCATCTATCACTATCAGATGCCAGAAGTATCATCTGCGGCGAGGCATCATAATTTGTCGCGGTCTCTTCCCACATCGCGATGCCCTCCCTCGACACATGTCTGTGGTCAATCAGTGGATGCCTTCCCGTAAGCAATCTGATACAGATGAATAAATCGGAGTTTCAATGATCTGTTCGTTCTGATTCTGCACAATCTGTACAACCGTAACGCGTTTGTATCTGCTTATTATATTTGAATGGGTAAATATCGGAGTTTTAAATTACTTTTACCTGCAATGTACGCGTTCTGAGCCCTCGCCACGAGCCTCAGCCACCTCTTCCCACCGCAGGAGGCCGAGAATGAGGCCAAGAATGCTATTAACAACAGTCTTACTACATTTTATGTGCTACAACAGCTCATGCAATCACCGATGACAGTGGGGAGCGTGCAGCTGGTGCAGATCGCTTTTGCCGTGCGACCCTGTCGGAACACTCCTTGGCAGGTATGGTATGAGCTCCGAGCATATAGTGCCCCTCACCTCAGGTAAACGGTGTGAGTTCGCATGTAAATCTGGGACTAGATAAGCCAAGAGTAGCTTTTGCATGAACTGAATAGACGTACTGCACGTGCGTGGCTAGCGCAGCCATGCTTGGTGCATTTGAAGCAGGAACTGAGAGACTAAATAAATGTGTTAACGACCTGTGAGATCAGGAATTAAGCTGTTGCGACTCACCGGAGCGTGAAGCAGAGTTGGGTACATGATATAACTATGCTTTGGCATACATCAACATGATTTTACAAAGGGGAGCTCACATACCAACGATGATGGTGTGCCACAATGATGTCCAAGTGGTCCATTAGGAGGAGACATTTTTAGCTGTGAGCTGAAGTGAACTGATGATGAAAGGCCAAGTAGAGACGGCGCACCTCGAGAGCTTGCTTATAGGTGCCATCTCCTGTCGATATCATTATTGCAATATTACCTGGAGACCAACTGGCACTTGTCGTTGTTCTCACTAGCTCATGAAATGTTGACGAGACGCACTAGAGCTAGCTAGTTTGCAAATGCATGCCGCAAGTTCACCTATGGAGCAATATAGTTTATAGCACCCTCGCATCCTGCGTAATCGACATCGCGGACTTGTCCACATCGTATATCGAACGCAAATCTCTGTCGCTGTCCCCCACAAACGAGCCAGCTTAGAAACCCGCTGCCTCGAACTTCACTGCGTACGGTTTCAATTAGCAAGAATAACCACCTAAAATCATACATATTGATCATTCTTTGATATTTTAGCATTCAGCCGTCGCTCATCATGGTATCCAGAGGTCAGAGGAGG